AATACCAAACAACAATCCTGCAAAAATAAGATGTTGCAAAAATCAAGTGATCTACTGTAGCCATGCATAACTACAGAGGGGGATTTTCTATTATTTGGTTTGAAATTCTTCTGCGTTTTTCTGTTGAATTAAATTGTGTTAAAACAAATTTGATTAAATAATGATTAAGGAATCTTAAAGCATACGCCCCCAGTGGTAAAGAGGAAATAACTCTTTATTTTAAATTATAATGTCTACTGAAAACTTTACATTGACTAAATCATGTCTGAAAAGGAAGCTACTTGTCCAGGCATGGTAATACTTAAAATAAAGTTTATTTTTTACAGTGATAAAATGTTGATAAAATGCATTGAATGATGAATTGTTTACTTTGATGTCATAAACGTGTGATAATTTCCTCCCTTTTTTCTATTTAAGTTGTAAGAAGTGTTGTTAAAAATGGTTATAAGAAGTGTTGTTAAAAATGGTTCACAAAGAAAATTGTAATGAACCTAAATTATTTATAGTATTTGTATGTTATTACAAGTATAAATTATATATACATGTAATAATATGTACCTTTCTTAACACTATACATATTAGTCCTTGATCAACATCTGTCCTAGGTTTGATACAGGAGTGTATCAGGAGTTATAAGGATATATAAGGGCTATATGCATTTATATACAGGAGTGTATCAGGAGTTATAAGGATATATAAGGGCTATATGCATTTATATACAGGAGTGTATCAGGAGTTATAAGGATATATAAGGGCTATATGCATTTATATACAGGAGTGTATCAGGAGTTATAAGGATATATAAGGGCTATATACATTTATATACAGGAGTGTATTAGGAGTTATAAGGATATACCAGGGTTATATGCATTTATATACTGGGGTGTATCGGGAGTTATAAGGATATATAAGGGTTATATGCATTTTTCTCTATGTACATTCATTTATTGTAGCTGGAAACTATATTGTTACATAGTGTAATAAATAACGTAAAATGACTTGTGGATGCTATAATGATGCATAGTTTTATTGACACTGAGCATTTTTATATTATTTATACTAACCACTTTAACACTTTGTCCTAAAGAGATGGGATTATTCTTGTCATAGTACAGGAAATTGGGATTTTTGACACATTTCTTTCCACAAAATGCTTCCACGTCTGATACAATAGTGCCTACTGACATCCCACTTGGCAGAACATCTGACTCAAAGCCATGGTGTATCGCTTTACTCGTTGGATTACCCAGGGCATTGGGACACCGGCTTGCAAATATTTGGCCTAAGCCATTGTCCATCTGTAGCAAATAATTTACATGTCAAGTACTGACATCTTTTTCTTTATTTAAGCTGAAACATTTTTCAAAAGAAAACTTGATTAAAAGAATAATGTGTTGTATTGCAAACCATCAATCTGACATGATATGAAGACACAATTGTTTGTCTTTGAGTATCAAGGAAATTAATCAGTATATTTTTATTTGAAATTGTGTACAATTTTTGTGGGCCCCATTCTGATTTGCATACACTTGAATTATACACTAAGTGAACATGGAACATGTTTGTAAATTTATATAAGAAATGAAAGCTTTGTTATCCCAGCCCAAAAAGATTTTTAAAGTTTTAAATTTTCCAATACATTCCTATTATAAGTTAAACGTTTGATCTAGTCTTACGATTCCAATTTATTCCCTTATGGATGAATTTAAAAACACAACTTTCCACACAACATTTAATACCATGTTAAACTTTGATCCTTTAATGTAGCTCTACCCTTTGCCTACGAGCCTTGATGCAAAAACACTTTATTCTACATTACCTGAAGATGCTTCGATCCATATACCAATACCTATGACTAACCATGGCCCTGCTTTCCTTCAGAAGATGATTTTGAAAGTTTTTTTCCTATATATAACCATGTTAAAGTTTGATCTCCAACTCTAGCCCCACCCTACTCCCTGAGACCATGATTTAAACAAACTTGAATCTACACTACTGTAAACCAACTTATTATTCATGACAACTTTTATTCGTGATTTGTCAGTTTGAAATCTATCCATGTTGACTTACTTTCACGACCAAGAAAATAATCTACACAAATGCACAATGAAATAAATAGTTCGCAATGAAATATATTGGCGAGTAAAATAAAGGTTGTAAAAGTTGCGAATATTTCTTGTATGCAAATAAAAGTTGTTGACAGTATTTCAGAAAGCTTTCATTAAAGTTTCCTCTTTCCTGGCCCAATAGTTCTTAAATAATGCCATAAAATTTTCTTTAATTTTTAATTATCTCCAGAGCTCCAGATAAGGTGCGTATTTGCAGAAATATGCATTGAATTTTTCAAAATATGCATTAAAAATTAAAACAGGGCCTACAATTACGCATTAGCAATCATAAATAAGCATTACACTACGAAAGTACTGCATACAACGGATTGAATGATACAAGTACGATATAACTAAATATGAATTGAGGTCAGCTCAGTGTTTGAATTTTTATCAAAAGGAAATTTTGATGTATTCGGAATAACCTAGACCGATTTCCAGATCGGGAGAAAGATTTGAATATTAAATACGCGTATTTTGTCAGGAAATATCACAGATTTCCACTGTTCATATAATATCCAAATTTTCGTTCAAAATTGCACAAAACACGCACGGGGTCTTTATCACTGTTAATTAAACAGTTCTTGTATGTTTAACATTTTTGTCGCAATAATCATTGAAGTCCGCCGACAACCTTTATGTTTGAAAATAATTGCTTTTTTGTTTTCCACATGCTCCTTTGCCATAAATAGCGCGTCGCCCGCATGGCGCAGTGGTTAGAGAGTCTGCTCTAGAGTTGCGGAGTAAGGAGTTGATCCTTACGTAGTGGGTTCGAATCCCACTGTGGGACATGGGGACCGGTCCTTTGGATGAGACCGTATAAACCGAGGTCCCGTGTCGCAGTAGGTGCTGGCACAAAAAAGATCCCTCACTGCTCAATGGTCGTAAGTGCCGAGTATAGGACAAAATTTGCAGCTCTCCACCTGCAAGTGGTGGCGTCTCCATATGAGTGAAAAATTCTCGAGAGGGACATTAAACAACATACAAACAAACAAACATAAATAGCGCCACGTGACTTTTAATGCAAACGGAATAACTCTAAAACTTTTACCTCGATCGATGCTAACAATTAATATATAGCAAAACCTAACATATATTTTAGATAACAAAAAAAAATACAAAACAAAACAAGAACAAAAACAACCGGGCAGGACATTTTTAGAGGGGCAGGTTGGGATGAAAATCTAAGGATTAATTTTATCTGGCCAAAGGAAGGATATTTTTCTTGGTAACTCTAACTATGATCGATAAAGACCTAATTTTAAATGGAGTTCTGTGTGCCCTTGGTAACTTTGCCTACCGAATGGTCTTTTTGGTGAAAGAAACGAAATGTTTCTTAGTTATAGCTAAAAGCTGACAAAATTTTTGAAATTTCATTAATCTAATTGATAAATACTGAAACTTTCCTTATTTTTTTTTAAAAACATTCCTCTTTCAAAAACACTTATTTCGATAACAAGCTAAAAATCACATAAGATGTCAAAAGAGCAATAAATTAACAAAGTACTCTTTGATTATTTTGCTGAAAAGCAAAATCTGCATTGATTTGAAAATCAGGGAGTAAATACACTTTGAGGTAAAAAATTATCTGGAGCTCTGTATCTCCCCTTGAGAGTGAGCGTGAATCCTCATTTGAACAGACTTTATTTCCCTTTACCAAAAGGATGCTTTGTGGCAAGTTTGGTTGAAAATGACCCAGAGGTTCTGGAGAAGAATTGAAAATGTTACAAGTTTACAGACAGAGGCAGAGAAGGATGATGGACAAATTGTGATCAGAAAAGTTCATTTCAATGAACTAAAAAGAAGAAATTACACTTTCTGTGAAGTATTGTTATTACATTGTAACAAATTAATAAAACATGCAATCATACTGTGAGATGTATTCGTAACCTGTGATTTGGTTGGCTTTCCAGAAAACAAAGGTGAGATAACCCCTGCCATACTAAAGGCAATATACTCTCCAGTGGGCTTCCCTGCCTGGACTTCCTCTACAGAAATATTCACAGCAATTCCTGTGCTCTTCATAACAACCTTCAAATCCTCAAAATTACCTGTGAAGAATAAATATAAAATATTATTGAATAATATTTAAGTACCTCTACAAATGTACTGTCACTTTTATAATCTTTCTCAAATCAATGCATCGCGTTCTACTTATTCTGCAGAGTGACTACAAACTAAATTATTAGGTTGCTATATTTTGTGTCTAATAACTATTCTTTCAAAGTAATTCAAAATTAAATAGTTCTCACATAACAAGTAATTGAACATTCACTATAAATGTATACCATTATATAGTTAGTTACACATGCACTTAGTGACAGACCTAAAAAAAAAAAATAAGCAGATGAAGAAAGAAAAAAGATTGAACTAAATTTTTCCATTAAAACTAGGTTATGCAATAATTATATGAATTTCTGACCTTGACCTTAACCTTTGTCATAAAAATCATGATCAAGAGGGTTTTTTAAAGTCAAACTGAGTAATGCTATAAATTCCAGTGCAAATTTTCATAGAGAACTAAAGTTATCATCTGGAAACATTGTTTGCAATATTTGATATTCTGACCTTGACCTTTTCCCTCAAATCAATAGGACCTTTTTATTAAGTCAAAGGGAGTTAAGATATATTATTTCATAGAAAAAGCCTATTAAAGAGATCAAGTGCTTGTTATAGGTAGGTCAGGATTACTGCATCAAACCTAAGATGTTTAACCTCTCAAACTTGGTACTGCATCAAACCTAAGATGTTTAACAAGGGTAGCCAATTAAGCAGCACTAGAAGTGAAAGTCATAGGTCTTCTGGATGAGATATTTAAAACCTTTGTCAGGTGTCATGGTAGGTCTTGGCATGATAAAGATCCCTAACTGCTATGGCCATGCACCATGCATTGGTCAAAATTTTTGGTGCTTCACCTAAAGTAGGTGACATCTCAACATGAGTGAAAAATTCTGGAATGGGACGTTAAATAACAATCAATCAATCCATTGAAAAAGCTGAAGTACTTTGTGAGATATCATCTGGAAACAAAAGTGTTACTCATACACAGACAGACAGACAGAAGTAAAGTAAAATCCCCCACTTTAAAAATGTTTTTCTTAATAAATTGCTAAAACATTATATATAAAATACTGTAAAATGAGAAAATTTGGCACATAAGTATTTTAGCGCAAATGCAAGTGGGAATGCATGGGCACAAATAAATTTTAGTGCTTGCGCTTGTCATTAAAATATATGAATGTGATATTTTTTTTCCTTTGACCCATGCCCGTATTTGATTTTGTGGTCACTCAAGCAAGCAAACACAATAGTAACAATTTCTAACTCACGTACACAGGTAAACATTCATTCACTTTTCCGGGGTGTTGCAAGCACTTCGATTTTAAACTTTTTAATAAAAGGAAACGTGCTTGTACTTTAATAAATGATTATGGGTGTTCATGCATTTTATTCATATTAAAAGCATGCATGCATTGAAGGAAAGTAACTTGGATAACTGGTAAACATAATCAGGTCATCAGGGTCGATCGCCATGCTTAATCGCATTGTTTACCTTGAGACAATAGATGATTGACACGGCGAGAAGCCCAACTTTGAATGTGATAATGATAAGAACCGGGTAACAACTAATAATAGTTTAATAATTAATTTATAATTTGGCAGAAATTTCTCGATTGATCCTACAGTTTACCAGTGCGTGTACAAAAATTCAGTGACCTACGACATTACGTAATCGTGCATTCCGGTTTACATGTACATTTTATACATAAGTGATTGCTTTGAACATAATTTTTTTTTAATATTTAGAAAGCTGTTAGCGCACAATAAAATTTAGTGTTATGGGGAGCTTGCGCCAAAGGCACTAAAAATAGTAGTGCAACAAATTTTCTCATTTTACAGTACATAAAACAATATAAATTGCCAAAACAATATATATATATATATATATATATATATATATATATATATATATATATATATATATATATATATATAACAATAATATCAAAAAATAGTGGCTACTCCTTTTTTGTACCTCTTTTTGAAATGAACTCCACAAACATTATCAAGCAGCCGGAACTCTCTGTCTTATTAATGACATTTACTGACTCGTGTGAATCAAAAATTGGCAGAGATTTCAAAGCATTTTTTATTTCACTGATTGAGCTTTGAGAGGTCAGGATATCTACAACAAAAATAAAGAAAAATTAAAATTAAAAACAAGACTTAAACAAGCAAAAAATATAATTTTACACCCCCCCCCCCAAATTTCAATAGAATCATAAAGTGAAAAATTCTCTTCCTCCATTGGATATACCCAAACATGCCACACAGAAAAATAATCATAAACACACAGTGGTGTCAAATTCTCTCTGGAATTGTGTTGGTTTAAATAAAAAAGTGCAGGGTGACTGTCAAACTTCAGCAAAGTGCAATACATGTAGAGTGCAAATGCCTAACAATACAGTGTAGGTGTTACCTGTGTATACATTATAAAACCCCATCCTAAACATCAGCTGTGCTCCACTCTGTGCAGTATCACAGATCTGTACCTTCTGGACCTCATTCACTCCTGCTCCGGCACTTTCAGTGACCAGTGAAATATTCTGTACTTCTCTAACAACAGTTGACCTCACTTCTATCTTTTGATGTTCTTGCTCAGCATAAGCTGTGCTTTGATTGGTCAAATCTGTTTGATAGAACCGGGCAGCAACTCTTATTCTCTCAGGCCCTGAGTAGTCTCTGTGCAGTATCACCATGTAATAGCTGTTGAGGAATGGTCAAAATTAACACCTGACTAGTTAAAAAATATTGAACAACTTTTTTTGGCAAAACTGAACCTTCACACTATGTTAACAAGAGGTCCATGGGCCATAAACAGCTACATGGGTAACCTTAACTGATCATGCTGTTTTTCAACAAAAGATTCCTAGTAAGTTTTTTTTACTATACGTATATTTCCATGAAAAATTTGGCCCCACCCTTTCTCCAAAGGTCAAGACTTAACCAAATTTTAATCCCCACAACATGGGGATTCTTGCACTACCTGTGGATACATGCACATTAATATTACATGCAGTAATAATGTCCCTGTTGTTCTTGAAGATATTTATACAGAATTTTTTCCTGTATGTAATTTTCCTAAATGTAAAAGATTTTTGTTATATGTAAAACTTTCATATACTATTGTGAACCCATCGTACCCACCTGGGTCATGATTTGAACAAACACAAATTTGCACTAAACGAGGATGCTTGCATATTACCAGTAATATGAATAACCATGGCCATGCTGCTCTTAAGAAAAAGATTTTTAAAGATTTTTCTTATATATCACTATAATAAACTTTGACCCCCTTTTGTGGCCCTTACCTAACCATGGATGCAATGTTTTTTTACACTTACTAAGGAAGTTTCCACTTTTGTCTTTACTGGCCCATTTTTAAAAGGAGCCACAAAAATTTTACTATGTCTTAGTAATCTCCCCTTCATTTGAAGAAATACGAATCCTCTATGAAACCCAAGGATGTTCTGTAGCAAGTTTGATGGAAATTGGCACAGTGGTTTTACAGAAGAGGTTGAAAACGTGAAAAGTTTATTTACATGGATAGACATTGTACAATGGGTGATCAAGAAAGATCACTTGAGCTTAAATCTTGGGTGAGCTAAAAAGGAGTGACTTACGCTTCCCCTGCTTTCAGTGTAAACTTTTTAGACAATTGCTCTGGCCATCTTGTAAATTTGGTAGTATATCTTTTGCACTCAGCAATTTTTTCCTGAAAAAAAAAATCATAACAAATTAACAAAATCAAAATGTTGTGACGTTGCAAAAGTTAAAATCAAAATTTTCTCTCAAAAATATGCAAATTGATTCTTGGAATGGAGAGGATGTCTGACAGAGAAATCGACATCTCTATTTTATTATAATACCATATCTTCTGGATTACTAGTGTTGCTGAAGTACAGTTGTCCTACGTCATCAGCTCTGATAGCAAAAGAGTAATGTCCACTCCAGGGAGGAATAAAAAATCCACTAAGTCTGTTGACATAGTTGTCATGTAAATTATAATCAAAGTCTGTGTTGTCTATGTGGGATCTACTGTAGTCATTATAACTCTCATTGAATGTTAAAACTTCATCAAGTCGATCTAAATGTCTGCTGGTTCTATTCCAAACTTCCAACCACAACCCACGGTTTCCTTAAAAAAGAAATCCAATTTATTAAATAATTTTTGGTTCCTTAAGAATCTCTTACTCTCAAACTCAAGTTTTAACACCAATTCTTTGCCTGCATGGAGTAAAATACAGCAGAACTTTACCTGGGAATTTGGTGTAGGAGGTGCCTGGTTTGGGGGGAGTCTTACATGTTATCTGTGTCGCTGTTACCGACTTCACTTCACAATTTTGACCTGTGTGTAAAGTAAATCAAATTAAAAGACAAACCAGAAGTCTCTGATGAGACTGTAGCTCTATTGGTCTGTATGTATAACAAAATAGCACTTGGATTTGAAACTTTGCAACATGCAACAATAAATAGAATTATGTATCTTAATGTAGTCTACTTCTGTGCCAAGTTATACTGAAATCAAACAAAAACTGTAGGAGGAATAGCATTTTGAAAGTATTTCGCAGAAATCTTTATTTTTAGTAACCATGACAACACCATTCACTGAAATCAAAAACTGAAATACATATTATGTATCATAGTGTATCCTAATTGTGTGCCAAATTAGATTGAAATCAGACTTAAACTGTAGGAGAAGTAGCGTTTTAAAAGAATTTCACAGAAATTTCTATTTTTAGTAACCATGGCAACACCGTTCATGGAAATCAAAAACCGATGCACTAAATTATGTATCTTAGTGTTGTCTACTTATGTGCCAAGTTATATTGAAATCAGACCAAAACTGTAGGAGGAGTAGTGTTTTAAAGGAATTTCACAGACATTTCTATTTTTAGTAACCATGGCAACACCGTTAATCGAAATCAAAAACTGATGCACCAAATTATGTATCTTAGTGTTGTCTACTTGTGTGCCAAGTTATATTGAAATCAGACTTAAACTGTAGGAGGAGTACCATTTTAAAGAAATTTCACTGAAATTTCTATTTTTAGTAACCATGGCAACACCGTTCATGGAAATCAAAAACCGATGCACCAAATTTTATATCTTAGAGTAGTCTACTTGTGTGCCAATTTATACTGAAATCAGACTTAAACTGTAGGAGGAGTAGCGTTTTAAAGGAATTTCACAGAAATTTCTATTTTAGTAACCATGGCAATACCGTTCATCAAAACCAAACACCAATGCACTAAATTATTATCTTAGTGTAGTCTACTTATGTGCCAAGTTATATTGAAATCAGACCAAAACTGTAGGAGGAGTAGCGTTTTGAAAAATTGTTTACAGACAGACGGACAGACAGACAGCTAGACAGACGGATGGACACCTTACTATCGCATTAGCTCTTCTGGTCTCTGACCAGTAGAGCTAAAAATTATGTTAAATATGATGGATCCCAAGTTAACCAAACTCTAAGCCAGGATCAATAACTTGAAAAAATAATTTAATTCACACAACTTGGGAATGTTTGTAAATTAATGGTTCTATTGAGGTTCTTGAGAAAATTGTTCAATAAAAATTCTTATATAGTCCCATGTAATACTTTAATCCCCTATTGTGGCCCAACCCTATCCCTGGGGGCCATGATTTGAACAATTTAAAATCTACATAATATTTTCACACAAGTTTCATCTTTACTGGTCCAGTAGTTCTTGAGCAGATCTTATATGCCCTATTTTGGCCCCAACCTACCCCAAGGGACCATGATTTGAAAATTTTAGAATCTACGCTACCTAAGAAAACTTTTCATGTTTCATCTTTTCTGGTCCAGTGGTACTTGGGAAGATGGATTTTAAACACTTTCCCTATACATTACAATATAAAACTTTGATCCCCTATTGTGGCCCCAACCAACCCCTGGATGTCATGCTTTGAACAATTTAAAATTTACACTTCCCCAGAAGCTTTCATATAAGATTAAAATTTTCTGGCCCAGTGGTTCTAGAGAAGACTTTTAATGACTCCATCCTATTTTTTGTCTTTTCTTAATTATCTCCCCTTGGAAGGGGTCTTGGCCTTTCATATGAACAACTTAGAATCCCCTAAACCCAAGAATGTTTTGTACCAACTTTGGATAAGTGATTCTTGAGAAGAAGTGGAAAATATGAAAAGTTTACAGACGGACAGACAGACAGAGGGATGCCAGACAAAACGTGATCAGAAAAGCTCACTTGACAAACAGAAGGATGAACACAGGACAACAGGTGATCACAGTAGCTCACTTGAGCTTTCAAATCAAGTGAGCTAAAAACTAAACCCAAACAACTTACAAATGTTTTCTTCATTTATAAATTTAGTTTGGCCTTGCCACTCTTGAAAAGTTTCTTCTTACATACTCCCTTGTAAACTCTGATCCTATTGTAGCCTTGACCTACTCCCAGTGGCTCTGATCTAAACAAACTTAAATCTAACTAATCTGAGGATGCTTGCATACATGTATCAATATCGGTAATAAATGCCTTTTTTGTTTATAAGAGAAAAAAAATTGTTTATATTCCCATTTAAACTTTGATCGTCTTTAGTTTGGGCTGCATGTGCAATAATATTGATATTCTGGTATATTGTGATAAGTTGGCAAAAAATATCATATTTTTTGTAATAGTATTATGTAACATAATACGTTTTTTCAATATTGGTATTCCGACAAAATGCCTGGACTTGGGATTACTAAGGTTAAAATATGAAATTTAAGATGTCAGAAATGTTTCCAATCGTACCAAACAGTAAGGTTGCTGTTGATGATTGCATTTCTTTGCAAAATTGTATTGAATTCAACAAAAGCTTTTTTTGTAAAATACGACATATTTATAATAGCTTTATAAACTCTGCTTATAAATGGAGGTTAATAAAATAAGAAAAGATCATTTTAAGTGTTACTGAAAATATTGCAATCCATATCGCAATACAGTTAAAAATTTTGCAGTATATTGCAAATGTGAAATTTCCAGCCTATACCCAGCCCAACCTATTGTACAGTCCCATATGCAACCCTATCTCCAGGGTCATGATTTGAACAAACTTTAATCTACACTACCTGAGGATGCTCTCATATCAATATGACTAATCGGCTTTGCTGTCCTTGAGAAGAATTTTTTTAAAGATTAATTTCCTATATATTCCTATGTAAAAATTTGATCCCCTATTATGGCCCTACCATCCTCAAGGGCCATGATTTAAACAGATTGACTATACATGTACACTACGTCAAGAAGCTTATTCAATTAAGTTTCAACTTTTCTGGCCCCTGTAGTTCTTGAGAAGAAGTTCCTCTTAAAGTCACTTGGTCTGATAGTTATGGTAAAAAAAAAATATCTCTGGTTGTTTTTGAAAAATAATCCTCCATAGAAAGTTTCCACTTTGGTAAAATTATATTGTCAATGTCGGTGCATGTCTTTTAAAAGATATAAATACGCTACAAGTAATTTTTGTTGGATTACACACAAAAAAAAAGAGAATGCAAACCTAGCACATGTGTGGTGATTTTGTGAACAAATCGCATGAAGGAAGTACTTCAAAATACCCAAGTGACTCTGGGTATAAAAAAGAATACTGTGGAATCATCAATGTTCGTGGGGACCATTGTTCGTGGATTTCGTGGGGCACCCTTATCCACACAAACAATTATTTTGTCAACATATTTATTCATTGAATCTTCTGTATATACGAGTTACCCATGAAATTACTTCCCCACGAGCCAATAAAATTTTGTTTGCCCATGAACATTGACCTCCATGAATTAAAATGATTCCACAGTACCAAACAGAATAAAAAGACCAAAAGCAGGGTATTTATATAAGAAAGCACACTGGGGATACATGCGGGAATCACCATGACTGAACTGCAATTCAGAACGATACAAATTATGTCAAATGGTAATTTCACGTTTTTCACCTCAGGGTTTGATTGGCTTTTGGAAGTCACATGGTCTCACCTATTTAAATATCCATAGCGTGTTTGTGTTGTCGATGTGGCTTTTGACTGTGATTTCTTTTATAAATATTGTTGTTAACCGAATAAATACAATCAGATGATTTCTTTTTATACATATTCTACATCTATGTATACATGCATGTACATTTATTGTGTAAGAAAAATATGTGTCTCAATCGTGTCTAGGTCCCCTAGCCTCTGCCCTTCCCCTTCCAAAATGCCTATATGTATGCAAAATATCTGTACAGTGTACATAAAAAGGAATCATCAGATTACCCAATAACAATTCTTCTAAAGAAAATCAAGTGTTCAGCACTTGACGGATATTTTAATTAAAGTAAAGTGTGTAAAAATGATCTGAAACCTCAGCAGACGAGTACCTGATATTTTCACTTTGGCTGGAGATCGAGTTTGGTCAAAGTTCTTTCCTGTAATTGTTACCATGGTGTCACCATGAATACTGCCAACACTCGGCGATACTGAGGTTACCTCTGCATAAGTCTGGAATAAGTATAGCTGTTTTGTTCGGCTGAGAAACAAGGTGTTGGGTCTGCAAGATCTATACAAAGAAAATATTTCATGAAACACAAACTTTGAAGAGAGAATACACTAAATACTATTCCCCCCCCCCCCCAACTTTTTGAAGTCAAAAAGCAAGTACATTTATTTTTAATCATCATATAAAAGAATATAATGTAATATATCTATTCGAAAGAGATAAAATTTATCCTTCTTTATTTATAGCATTGTTCAGTTATGTATAACATTTGTAAGCGCACTTTGTTACATCAAAGTTCTGAATAATTATGGATTTTACCTCCCAAATAATCCCTCATAATGTAGTGGACTTTGTTACATCAAAATTATAATTAAATATGGATCTTACGTACCTCTCAAATTAAATGAATAAATGTAGCGGTTTTTGTCACATTATTAAGTTCTGATTAAATATGGATGTCCCCCCCCCCCCCCCCCAAAAATGATCCACTGTAGCAGACTTTGTTATTAAGTTCTCATTAAATATGGGATCTTACCTCCCAAATGATCCACTTATAATGTAGCAGACTTTGTTATTAAGTTCTCATTAAATATGGGATCTTACCTCCCAAATGATCCACTTATAATGTAGCAGACTTCGTTATCAAGTTCTCATTAAATATGGGATCTTACCTCCCAAATGATCCACTTATAATGTAGCTCACATTCTGGTTTCCTAAAACAAAACTTCAAATTGTGAGCTTGTGAATTATTGATACTGTTATGAACACTTCATAGAAGAATATTAATGTACGGACATAAAATATGTCTCAACTTATTTAAAGTGATAGGGATAAAACTCTGATTTACAAATGATCAGAAACTGGGATAGGTACTTATAGAACTGTCATATGATGGTTTTTTTCTGTGTGTCATAATTTCTGCAAAAATAATCCAGAACACTGTTAATTTTGATATATAAAGTCCTATTTTTGTGATTGTCCCAGTGGTTTATTAGAGTCTATGTAAACTTTGTCGTGCAAAATTGGTTATAATGCTCCCAGAGAAGGTGAAAATTGGATTATTGTGAAATAAACCCATAATACTGAAGGAGGGACATGGTTGTAACATTGGAATGCAATATCATAGGTATAAATAACACAAAGACTGGAATATTTCAATTATTACACATGCCTTCTTAGAACTAGAAAGATGCTTGAAAGGAAATAATCATGTTGACAATATGATACACTTGTATCATTAATTTACCAACAAATTTTCCATTCATTTTACACTTCATGTATCCATTCCAGTCCCAGGTATTCTCACTGTTCATTGCTTTTCCATAACTGAAAGAAGATCGAAACAGAGTTTTATGGACATTGGCAATGTTTTCGTACAGATACATATGTAAGTGTAGAATATTCTCTAGGCAGTGAAAAAACCCAAAAAAGTTACATATAAATATCCCACTTGAAGCAATTTTTTCATTGATCTAAGCTACAGTATACTCACAAAGCATCATTTTCTGCCTTAAGACTACAAAGCTGAGGCCCAGCATAAACTCGGGCTATTTTTTCTGTTCTCCCATTCATGGCTTTCTCCACATTCGTGTCAAATCTGTCGGTGATGATTCTACCACTGATTTTGATAATACTTTCAGGAGGGCCAGAGCTGGGTTCAACAGAGGTTATTGTAGGAGTATTATGTGACCTTATCTACAGGTAAGAAAATTACATTTAGAATTGTAGTATGAAACATTACAAACCCATGTACAGTATGTGTAGTAAATTTTATTGCTCCCAACTTTTGAGAAAGTGCAGAAACAATATATCTCATTCAATTCTCATCTTTCTGTCTGTTGTCTTCACTTGCAAAAACTTGAATCTTGGTATTAACTTTTAAGAGAGAGAAAATAGAGCTTTCTCATTCACACATGCATTACCTGTGACAAGACCTTTCAAAATGTACAATAATTTTTGACCTCTTGACATTAGAGATTGACTTACTTTTCAGAAATTTTAAGTTTGCATGGTAATAACTTTTGAATGAGAAAATAAAGGGCTTTTATATTTCATGGGTGCATGTAACCCATGATAAAACAATTTTCAAATATACTTAGATTTTTGACCTCACGACCTTGAACTTTGACCTACTTTTCACTAAAGTGCACCACCACAGCGTTTGATACACCTGTAAATATTGTTCAATTATCATAAACAGCTTAGAGTGCAAAAAAGAAATCAAGTCAACGTTGATAAACTTAAATTTCAAAGAATTTTCCATTCCTAATGTATAACAGTCTAATAAAACATCAAAACACTAAATCATTATATCTATTCTTTAGACTATAAAATTCTTATTGAGACATGTCACTCTGTAATTTGTTGTAGAGATATAAAAATTTAAACGACATGTTGTTAACACCATGAATGCCCCTGCAAGCAGCCAAAATTTCAAATGCAATATTTAGTTTTAAATTTGTATTCAAACTTGACCTGTATTTTCTGGTAAAATACCTGCATATGCAATTTCAACCTTTTACATACATCCCTACAAAAGTTAGAAAGCATGCAGAAACTGAAAATTTCTTATTTTTTCTAAGTTCAAGAGGGATAAATCTGTCAAAAATCATTGGACCATGACCAAATTCAAATTTGACCTTTAGTTTCTGGTAAAATACCTGCGCATTCAATTTCAACCTTATACATACATCCTTACAAAAGAGAGCTGAAACTAAAAATTTCTTATTTTTTTTCTAAGTTCAAGAGGGATAACTCTGTCAAAAATCGTCGTACTATGACCAAATTCGAACTCGGCCTGTATTTTCTAGTAAAATAACTTCACATGCTATTTCAACCTTAAACATACATCCCTACAAGAGTTAGAGAGCAGAGGGATAACTCTGTCAAAAATCATCAGACCATGATCAAATTAAAAAATGACCTGCATATTCCTATGACGTATCCTGATATGTCAAATTTGAGTTGAATGTGTGCAACTGTTGTAGAGATAATGAACGGAATGAATGAAAACAGAATGATGGAATGGCAGAAAAGGGTAACACCCTATATACCCCGACCATTTCATGGCAGTGGCATAAAAATATATTATACAATATCAAATTACTTTTAATTATTTTACACCAAATTTATTTTGAAAGTAATGGCTAGCCAACAAAAACTTTTTAATCTGACATAAACTATTAATTTCAATTAAGAGGCTAAATTTCTCTGCCAAATTCCCAAGAGATGCTCTACCAGAAATCTCCTTACACTAAACTCTATTAATTTCTCTCTAATTTGACATGCAATTTTCTGTTAGCAAAATCCTCCTTGACCACTGCTTGATAATTACATCCATGGAAGAAGTGGAATTTCTCTTATTATTAGCAAAAGAAACATTATATTTGTTATAGATTGCTATATCATGATAGTATATCATGAAAAAAATGTGTAATTTTCTTGATCTTACATTTTTTTTAACAAAGTTACTGCAATACTCTTAGATATAAGATATACTCTAAGTCCTATCTGATGTGATTGTGTAAATTAAAAGTTAAAAACCATATTTTTTTTAAATTCACCATAATTAAGGTCTCAGTGACCTTTAAATCGGATGCAACACAACTTCTATCTAAGATGCATAAATTGACGAAGTTTGATTATTCTAGGTCCAACAGTTTTCTAGTTATGAGCTGGACAGGATTTTTCCATATTTGGCCATGGCATCTTTATTAAAGATCACTGTGACCTACTTTTAGTCTTTTAATATGTGACACACCTTCTTCCCAAGATATATCAGCTGACAACGTTTGATAAATCTAGGCCTCGTATTATTAGTCCCCTACCGGTGAAACCAGAGGGGACTATAGGTTTCCTCTGAGTCTGTCCATCTGTCTGTCTGTCTGTCTGTCTGTCTGTCCATCTGTCTGTCTGTCCCTCTGTCTGTCTGTCAGTCTGTCCCACTTGGTTTTCCGCACTTTTTTCCTAAACGCTTGCAGATATTGAGCTGATTTTTGGTATGTGGGTGTATCTTGATGAGTTACAGATCAAGTTTGCATTTCGTTCCGCTTCATTGAATTTTGACGGAATTACGGCCTTTTCAATTTTTAGGGGTTTTCTGCAATTTTCTTCTTAACGCTTTCAGATATTGAGCTGATTTTTGGTATGTGACTTAACTTTGATTAGTTATAGATCAAGTTTGCATTTCGTCCCGCTTCATTTATTTTTGACGGAATTATGGCATTTGCAATTCTTAACGGGAACCAGATTACACTTGCTGGTAGGGGACTAGTATTGCTAATGCAATACTCTCAGAATGCTTGTTAAAGTTATGAGCTGGACAAGAAACAAGCTAAAAACAGACAGACAGACAGACATGAATGCAATGACATAATACATCTTAAGATGGGCATATAAAAATTTTAACTTTAATACATGTAATAACTTTTGAATAAAAGAAGACAGCATTTTCATATTCCAAATGAGTATTTTGTTTGAGAAGATCTTTTCAAACATAATGTATTTTTTGACCTCATGACCTTGACTTCGAAGTATGACAGTCTTTTCAAAAGTTTTAACTTTATATGTAGTAATACATGCAACTTTTGAATTAGAGATGAGGGCTTTCATGTTTCTTGTGTGCAAAACCTGTGACAGGACCTTTCTAAATCAATGTACCATCATTTTTGACCATGACCTGAGAGTTTCACTAACTTTTAAAATATTTTAACTTTGGTTGAAGCTATTGTACAGTATCTGAAAAAACAGGCTTCAATATTTTTACATGCACATTTCTTTGTCAGGATCTTTCCAAATGAACTATAATTTTTTACTTCATGACCTTGGAGTTTGCCCTACTTTTCAAAAAAATTAACTTGGCTGTAATGTTTGCATCAGAAAATATTACTTTAAAACTATATAATTTGTTTTTATCACAATGGACATAAGGACAGTTGTTCATTTCACCCCAGTTGATAAAACCCTGAAAGTGGGAGACGCTAATTCTCTGAATCTGCTTGTTTACACTGATGTTTGTTGAGAAATACAAATACACTTGCTAATGTTTCATTTTTATCCCTTTATTTTTATTTCTTAGCAATTTAATAAATAAAAAAAATGAAATAATCCATTCCACATCCCTCCCAGTAAAAAAAAATCATAGGTATGAATGATTGAGAAACTCACCATGTCAAATGTTATATATATGTCATGTTTCACGTCGAGTAAACATCCTGGTAGAGTGCATCCCTAGATGTAACAATTCTATGCAACTGTTTGGAACGATTAATTGTTCTTTGGGAATAGCTCCGCAAACAAAAATGTTCTTTAATTCTCCCACAAAAATGCATATAAGATGAAGTCTCTAAAGCTTGTCTGGTAGTCTGCATTCCTTGATGCATCATACATGCAATTTTACTAATGATAGAGTTTATAGTTATAACTTGGTATAATGGACTTGCTGCTAAAACTTAAACATCATTCATCATAAAAGTGTACATCAGATCCAGCATCTGAAGCAGATGACTGGTACTATGCATCCTTAGATGCATCATTCATACAAGTTTAGTTCAGGTAAAGCTTTTAGTTAATTGGGAATGGACTTGCCTCTAAAACTTTTAACTCAAAGATGCTGACATTGGGGCTGTAACATAAGCCCACCTGGACTTTGTTGTGGTGAGCTAAAAACCCAAATATTGCCAGTCATTGAAATTCTTATACATGTAACTGTTGCTACTTATCCAGTCTCCTTTTAGTATAATTATTTGTTTTGTTTTGTTTTTTTAATTAATTTATACCCTGTATGCATTTAATAATTGCAAGAAATATTCTTACAGTGACTCGACATCGCCAGTCTGTGGGATATCGACAATGACTGTTAACTGGAACGTCTTTCCCATCCACATTCAGTCTAACATAATAATTATCTTGCTTCATTCCAGGTCTGAAAAAGAATGACATTGAAGCATTCCATAAATTCTAAATTTTCCTTTATACATGTTATATGGGGGAAAAATTTTGGTTTAGACTTGAGTCTATTTGGATCCACTGCATTCTACCATGCAGGAAAATTTAAATATATTATGGTTGGTAAGTGCACTGGTTGTTTATTGCCTAATTTTTGACCCACAATCATTTAATATTACAGTTTATAACATAGTTACTACAAATACATGCAATATAAGAATCTAGCTTACACAGTATAGCAGGTAATGTCCTCTTCTGTTGTTCCATCCTTGAGGACAGGGCAATCATAAGACATTGAGGATGACACCAGGCGTACTTTGTTACCCTCGTTAATGTTATCTTTGGAGAAGCCTGTACCTGTGATAAGGAGTCTCGTCTCTCCACATAGACTTCCATGATTTGGAGTGACCCTGCTTACCACACTGCCTGTGTATTATATAAAATATGTTTACATCAATTCAAAGCCTAACAAGTTAAACTGATATGCAAAGCATATACAAACAAAATTATGCATTTTCAAAAAGTACTTTCACAAGTAAGTGTCCAAGAAAAATGCAAGATATTTCAGACTGTCTTCAAAGAAATAAAGAAAACAAAAGCACACAAATTGCAAGATAAATAATTAAAATAGAAATGTGTTTTACTCATATTGATTCATCGATATAAAATCAGTGATGTATTGTTAATATTCAGATCCACGTGCTGATATCTTAGATCTTTGTCAGGTGATAATGCTGATGATCTGCAGTCTATGTTGCATGGGACCAGGGTGGTGATAGACAACATAATAAAGTCAAAGTGAAGACATTGTTGTGTCATTCTCAGCTGTTGCATATTCAAAACAATATTTACTTGTTCTACAGTTGTACCAACTTTACAATTTTTTTCATCACTTTTGCCGTTGAAATATTAATATCCAGAATATCTAATGCTTTGTGTTTATATCTTACACACTTCCATGTTGGGGAATACTTAATGTAAACCCCTTTTCATAAATAAGTCATAAGTTAATATCTGATGATAAAATGAAAAAAAAAAATTGTCAAATATAACAGACTTAGTTCCAAGCAAATTTTTAAAAAATCATACTCATAATTTTTATATGTTATCATTAACAAATTATTTGAGCAAACTAATAAAGAAAATATCACATTTCCCTAGGTACACCTTCTAACACATGCAACCACAAACAGATTGGCCACTGCTGCGGCTTTAATTATACACACAAAGAAATTCACCTTTATAAGGATACCCATTTCCACCCCAACCCGGGGTTGAACTCTAGACCTAGCAGTACAGGAACAAGATCTCTATCATACATTATTTTACGTGCCTTTTAATATTATATACATCTATGTCTTATATTTTAAATTATTTGAAAAATTGGTAACTCGCTGGTCTGAAAATGCAAATCCGGTCTGACAACATTTTCATTTCGGGGAGCTGCAGTTCTGCAGATAATTTTAAAGTAAATTTTGAAGAGTAAGAGAGCATCCCACCCTAAAAACTATTCGGTCGTAATACAAAAAATTCCTAAATTCATATCCAATTTTTTTAAAAAGCGAGACGAGCGGGCAGATTTTAGATTACAAATTTAATTTCATACATTTTTTGTTGTACACATTTTTTGTTGACCTGATCAATCGGTGCAGATTTACATGTATCTATTTTGCCCAAATAAAAGTCATAGTAAAGGTCCATTTAAATGAACAATTCTCTTATTACACATCCTTGTTTAATACACATTACATCAGTTAATTACCATCTTAGATGTCAAACCATGCAAACGTCTTGCTGTCGGCCACGCTGACATTTTCGCGGGAATTGAATGGTACTTGTAAGTTGAATATCGATCCCGATCAGAATCAAGACGAAGAAAAATGGAAAAAAAAAATCAGGGGGTAAAAAAAAAAATGGGCAGATTTTTTTATGGCCTTAGCTTATATGATTTCAGCATACTGAATTCGCATGTCCTTGCATTAAATTTTGACAGTACCCGTAAAGAACAAAGTAAATAAATGATTGTTTCCAATGATTGTTCCCCTAAAGTTTGCTAAATACTTTTTATACGATACCTAAACCCCACGAAGCTTTGATGATTAAGGTAGCTAATGCAGAACTCACATCATATTATATATATATTTGTGTAATTAAATTATTTTAGCCTAGATTTTCAAAGGAAAAGTTTTATTTAGATTTTATTTATAGATCCATTCCTCCCGATAAATTTAAAATTAGGCTTTTTGGTACCGTAGACAATTGCTTCTTCAATAAAAGTGGAGTTCGAAATTTTCATATCTTGGTGATCATTAAAATTACTTTGTTAATAATCACTCTGATTCTACACAAAAGTACTTTGAAGTTGATGTTGTAATGGTGTGGAATTCCTCATTGACATCATCTATGTATTCTTTGGAGATCAGTTCTTCCAACAAACTGTTGGAATTACGATGGGAACTAATTGTGCACCTTTCTTAGCTGTTTTTATATTCTTATGAAGCAGAATTTATTCAAAAACATCTACATGAGAAAAAAAAAAACACTTGCCGTGGCCTTCAACTCGATATTCAGATATATCGACGACGTTTTATCAATTAACAATAAATTAATTCCATTCATATGTCGACTCGTTATATTCCAGTGAACTCGAAATAAAAGACACCAAAGAGTCTGCCACATCTGTCATAGACGAATAGGGACAACTAACAAATAAACTGTATGATAAACGAGATGACTCAGCCTTTCCATCGTCAACTTTCCTTATTTATGTAGTAATATTCCACTTTCTCCTGCATATGCTGAGTATGTCTCTTATTCGATACTCTAAAGCATTCTCTGGATATGATAAATTTTTAAACCGCGAGAGACCACTGACAAATGAGAAATAAATCTAAATGTCAAAAGAATGAATAACAAAATCATTAAAAAAAATTAAAATGAATGTTGAGGAAGAAGACATTCATATTTGTTTTTCATTTAATAAAAACACGTTATTAAAGAAGAAATATCATTATGAAATTGCCTCCAAGAAAAAAGAAGTCATGAAATCCATAGAAAAATAAAAATGGAAAATATTTTTATTATGATTTCCATGCAATTTATGCAATTTCGAGCCATCTAACCTATGCGATAAAAAGTAATACCCGGCAATGTAACAGGATGACATTTTTGACTCTCTCTCTCTCACTGAAGTGGTAAAATTCTCCATTTGAATGGAACATTTCTAGCGTTCTTTAGAACATTGATTGCCATATAATGACACGCCTATTTCTTTAGATAGTAAAAAACAACGCTCAAATGGTTCTCATGGATATGGATATATGCGAAAAAACCCGAGGAAAATTGGAGAGAAATCTTGTGTTTGACTGATGAGTGTAAATTAGTGTAAATTTTGGAGAGTGATGCAGATAAGCACCAGGAAGGATAAACAGAATATATTCTGATAACAGTACTTAGAGCTAAGTTCTTATCAAAGAACAGATACTTTTGCTGATTTTTTTTTTTATTGAAAGACTCATATGGATATATGCGAAACATCCCGAGGAAAATTGGAGTGTCGAGTGAAGTTCTTTAATTGCAAGCTAATCAAATTTTGCTTTTAAATAGAAATATAACTGTCCTACAATGGAATGCACTGTAATGCTTGATGTGCTGTCTAATTAAAACATACTTGGTCAATTTTTATTATTAGATAAAACAGTGGGAAAAAAATATAAACTTTCCTGTTTGACGGATGAGTGAATATTTTGAGACTCAAACAAAGTGCCGATGACTTTGTAGAACAATCAAAGACGCTTTTCAAATACTGCTTAGCAGTACTTGTTTAGTGAGATAAGCTCACACTAAGTCCTTTACACGCCACATTATCCGTAACCTTTATTTACTCTGACTTTTAACACATGGTCATTTGTGAATGTCTCTCTAACGTCTTTTATATAGTAAACAAACCTGTTACTCGTTAGCATTGCGTAAACATTTACATAATATAAAGCAGAAATCAATGACCGTTTTGTCTACGTTGTTCAAAGGGACATAATTTGAGTTATCGAACGTTGAAGCAAAACTTACATTATGCAAATTTCCAAATAAACATTCAATCACAAGGACAAATTGTATATAAAAGCTGTCTTTGGAGGGTGGATGGTGGGGAATATTTCTAATACATTGACAAGTAAAATAATTGTGCTTGTTTAAATACAAGTAGAATTGCACCATACTGCACTCTACTGCAATACAATGCGATACATTGTGATGCCTGACAAATTGTCCTATCAAAATTGACTTAGTCAATTTTTTTTCTTAATTGATTTTAAAAACTGATTGAATACACATACTTATTTTTTTTCATTTTATGCTTTGAAAAAAAAAAGGTTTCATAAACAGACTAGAGAGGATTTCTTTTATTCTCATATTCTAAAATATTGGTTTTCTTTGATATGAATCAAAATTAACAATCAGTAATTAAGTCGAAGGACTTTCGTAAAGTTACGTGTTGCTGGTTTTTTTTTTTTTTTTTTTTATCGAATGACTAGTTTGTACATATTTTATTGTATAAATAATATACAAATGGTTTGAACACAAGTTCTAACAACTTACGAGGTTCTCACCATAAATGGCTACAACTGTCAAGGTCTATATATAGAAAAAAATTTTGATATACAAACATGTTTTTTTTAAACATACATTCATTACATGATAAATATACAACTAACTAGAGTTTTAGTGTAAGGCTGTAATAATTAATTGAATCTGCCAGAATCTCATATAAATTTTTGTACAGATTGAAAAATATATTTATTGATTTCCACATTTTGTGACTCATCTCCCAACAGAAGTAGGTGACAATTAATAATATTCAATTTAGTGTTTGGTTTAGTAAAACACAGCAGGTTTCTAAATAGTTCCTCTTTAGCATGTTGATACTTATTACATACAAAGAAGAAATGATATGGGGCTCCTGGTGTACCACATGAACAATTAGGACTCTCTATAATGTTTCTTTTATAAAGATCATAATTTGAAATACAGTTGTGTCGTAGTTTAGTACATGTATGTATGATATTAAGTCGTCTGTTACCATAACAGAAACAAGGAGGGGGTCTGCTGGTTATTTATGTATATTGTTTTTAAAATTACTAAAAGTTGAGCTGTTTCTTGTGGTAATACTTAAACTATTCCATTCGTTTACTGTATCAGGAACGAAAGATTTCTTAAATATTTCGAGTCTGCATCTAGGAATAGTGTAGTCATCTGTGATCAATGACTAGATTGGGTATGCGCAAAAGATCCAAAAGAAATGAACATTCCTTTTTGACTGATGAGTGGATTTTTTTGTTTGCAAGAGAATTTATACTGTGTACCATAATTAGAATTTAACTGCATTTTATTGCACCGCACTACAATGCAATGTCAATCAATAAAATGAAGTCCATTTTTGTTTTACATTATGGTATTGAAAATAAGGTGTAAATTATAATATTTTCTAATATATTTATATTTTTTTTAAAGTTTTGAAAAACAGACTGGATGGAATATTTTCATTCACATTTTCTTATATGATTGTTCTCTTTCATACGAAAACCGTTCACGGTAGCTCAGTCGGTAGAGCGCTCGCTCCGTGATCGGGAGGTCGTGAGTTCGAATCTCGGCCGCGACAGACCTAAGTCGATAAAAAAAAATAGGTAGCAACTGTTCCTTCGTCATGCGCTCGGCACTTTGAAGTGAAAGTTGCGGGTCCTTCGGATGAGACCTTAAAAACCGAGGCCCCGTGTCACGGCAGGCGTTGGCACGATAAAGATCCCTCACTGCTCAATGGCCCTGAGTGCCGAGTAAAGGTCAAAATTTGAAGCCCTTCACCGGTATATGGTGACGTCTCTATATGAGTGAAAAATTCTCGAATGGGACGTAAAACAATATACAATCAATCAATCAATCTTTCATACGAAATCAATCTAAATTAA